CCAAAATACCTGCAGTCATGAATAGAAGGGCAGAGTCAGACACTAAAGTAGGAGGCAAATGCTTTATCCATTCTGCTATAGAGACCACTTATAAATATTCAAACCACTCTGCTATGGAAAGCCCTTTATAAGTTTATAAACCATCTTTGATTAAGCTGTTCCTGCCTATTTACAAGCAATATTTGTATTAGCTACCAAAAGAGCCTGTGTGAGGTTTCACCTCTTGGTCCCACTGAAGCATGCTGATAATGAGTGCAAAACCACCACTTGTGGACAAATGCACAGCAAAGTTCCATGAGAAATGAGTGTGTAACAAGACATCAGCAACGAGGCATCATCTGCTCACTCATTTCATAACAGCCTGTCTGTTAAATTATACAATGAGAACATGTTAGGGGAATCCAGCCACTGATTGTCCTGAATGATTATTGAGTGTCACTGATCAACGTGTATCACAGAAATCACATCACAGAAATCAGCCGAGACATCAAAGACTGATAGAAAAGACAGGAAAACCATTACATCTCATACACCAGAGACAGTGCTCATATTGTTGATCATAATCCTACAGACTGAGCTCAGTTCCATAATCCTACAGACTGAGCTCAGTTCCATAATCCTACAGACTGAGCTCAGTTCCATATTCTTAAAGACTGAGCTCAGTTCCATAATCCTACAGACTGAGCTCGGTTCCATAATCCTACAGACTGAGCTCAGTTCCATATTCTTAAAGACTGAGCTCAGTTCCATAATCCTACAGACTGAGCTCAGTTCCATAATCCTACAGACTGAGCTCAGTTCCATAATCTTAAAGACTGAGCTCAGTTCCATATTCTTAAAGACTGAGCTCAGTTCCATAATCCTAAAGACTGAGCTCAGTTCCATAATCCTAAAGACTGAGCTCAGTTCCATATTCTTAAAGACTGAGCTCAGTTCCATAATCCTAAAGACTGAGCTCAGTTCCATAATCCTACAGACTGAGCTCAGTTCCATAATCCTAAAGACTGAGCTCAGTTCCATAATCCTACAGACTGAGCTCAGTTCCATAATCCTACAGACTGAGCTCAGTTCCATAATCCTAAAGACTGAGCTCAGTTCCATAATCTTAAAGACTGAGCTCAGTTCCATAATCTTACAGACTGAGCTCAGTTCCATAATCCTACAGACTGAGTTCAGTTCCATAATCCTACAGACTGAGCTCAGTTCCATAATCCTACAGATTGAGCTCAGTTCCATAATCCTACAGACTGAGCTCAGTTCCATAATCCTACAGACTGAGCTCAGTCCCATAATCCTACAGACTGAGCTCAGTTCCATAATCCTACAGACTGAGCTCAGTCCCATAATCCTACAGACTGAGCTCAGTTCCATAATCCTACAGACTGAGCTCAGTTCCATAATCCTACAGACTGAGCTCGGTTCCATAATCCTACAGACTGAGCTCGGTTCCATAATCCTACAGACTGAGCTCGGTTCCATAATCCTACAGACAGCTCGGTTCCATAATCCTACAGACTGAGCTCGGTTCCATAATCCTACAGACAGCTCGGTTTTAAAAAAACCTTCAATAACCATTAGATCTGCTCCTTAATGCTCCACATTGACTGGAGCAACTGAGCGAGACTGATGCAAGGCCACACATTAGATAGAAAGCCAGCGAGACTGATGCAAGGCCACACATTAGATAGAAAGCCAGCGAGACTGATGCAAGGCCACACATTAGATAGAAAGCCAGAACATATACTGCAATAAAGAACACAAGCATTTAGAGACCCAGGACAAAGAAAAGAATATCACAGGGTGAAAACATTGAACAACAAAATATAGCAGTACACTTCTAGATGACACACATACAACTTTGCTGAAGGCATCTCCCTCATCAAACATTACAATAATAAATTTAAACTGTTAGTAGTTTTTGCCCAGTATGAAAGGACATGCTTATCCCATTTTTAAAACTATATATAATGTGCATACAATGTAATGAAAATAAAAGGTAATCAAGAGATTGTACTAAAGTCTATCTAATTAATGCTATACGTTTTGCAAATTTTAGTTTTAAAGTTTTAAGACAAAGATTATAACTGTTAACATTATCACCAGTCATTCCCATGTTTTCTCTCACCTTCTACTAGAAACACATGGACAGCATAAGACAGCACTAGTTATTTCTTACTTGTCCCAAGAGCCTTGCCAAGACAGAACATGTAAATCATTAAGCATATGAGAAGTCTCAACATTTTACTTCTGTTCTTAGTGTGATCTCTATGTGTTGTTTGATATTCAATGTAACATTTCTCCATTTTTCAAACTTTCTTCTTTTTTGTTGTTGTAAACAATGAGAGAGCAGTGTTTGTTTTTTAAACAGATATTGCTTGAAGCCAATGTTGCTGCTCAATATTACTACACTAAATAAAGCTCTTCACTGGAACTTTACAAATAAACTCCTCACTTACCGACTTAAAAATCTGAGCTGTTTCTTGGCACCAATTTCGCTCTCTTGCCCACTATAATTTCAACAGAAAACTTCCATGTTTCGTTTTGTTACTTAGCCGACAAGGCAAGCACTTGATATAGTCAGTAGTTCGAACGACATTTTCCATCCCATTCTTCACCAGCAGACACTGCCTACGTCTTCCCTATCAGGTAGGATTCATTTAATTAATGTATCACGCTGATATGTGCTCCATCAATTTCTTGTCTATTTAACCCTCATGGCAAAGCTAAAGTATTGTTTTCTATCCATGACATTATCAAAATTCCTATAAACAAATACATCCACACTGCTTCCACAATCTTAATTTCACTTTTTATGGTCCAGCATCCATATCCATGCAGAACAATAGACAACGCACATCCACACATAAGTAACCAAATGATTTGACTTATACACTGATGTTTCCACAATTGTGCTGACATCACTAACTCTTTCTGGCACCATAAACCTTTGAGGTATGTTGCTTGTCTTGGTGTGTGACAAATATCTTCCGAAGTCTTCCATTAGACTTGATATCTGGTGAACACTAACTACAGAAGTCTCGCCACCCCCAATGGTAACTTTGTTTGCTAGCATTCCTACAATGCAGGAGTCTTTATGTGTGGACAATTTAATGAACAGAAATGAATGATTGTTTGTAAAATGTTATGGGACTACTTTTTTCTAGAATTTGTTCTGCCTTTCAGCATCAGGTTCTGAAGAGACCTTTCGTGTAAGCCTTGGCATGTGATACACAGGCACTAAAATTCCATTGCCTTAGATACTCAATCAATTCATCACTTACATGGGATTTACAGTTTTGCTTCCATCATGTCTAAGTGACAGGGTTTTCTGGTGTTTACAGTCAGTCAAAATAACAAAACACAAAATAAATAAAATGTCTTTTCCTTTAAGCGTGATCTGTTTTGTGAAAATAACTTAAAGTCAAGATAAATCTCTTTAACACATCAACACCGGCCAAACATGCATGTCCTAATATTACATGTCAAAAACAGATCAGCCAAGAGGTTGGGGCATGGCGCCGCTAGTTAGGTGATGGTAATATATGTTGAAAGGGGAGTCTAAGCAATTATATACATGCCCAGAGTGTAGTAAGGCTAACTCAAAACATAACTCAAGATGACACAGTCCTTCGTGTCGTCCTGTGTACTCCACATCTTTCAATGCACCCCCCTTGGACCAGATCCCCAATCAGAGGAGGAAGGCCTGCAGTACATGTTCAGGAGTGTATACTTTCACCATAGTCACAAGTAACAGATTCATTTATGCTTGTTTCATGTAGGTGTGCTCTAGGACTGCAATGTCCCATTCAAAGCCTAAAGAAATACTGTTTGCTTCTTCATGCTGAGTTTTATGACCTTCAATAATTGCTAAACTATTCTGATACTTTCATGGCAGATGTCTGATCCCTGTCAGAATGTTTATTCACTGATTAAATAAAATATACCAGAGTTTGCCTATTTTGTCTGCTTTGAAACACCCAAAGGTTCACCATGTCTGGTAAAAAATATCTTGACAGAAGGTGTCTCTCAGTAGGGAGTCGTCTCCACAATGAAGCTTAGCTACAAGGGATCTTCCTATCTCTTGGTTGTACACTCTCTGAGACTGCTGTTGGTTCACCACTTGATGATATTCCCCCTCCCCCCAAATGTGTTGCTGTCTACCTCTTGTTTTCAACCTTTCCCTCCAGTATAATAGATCCAGTGTGGCTGAAATATTTCACTCGTCTCTTTTTACTTATTTCAGCAACTCTCTTTTTCATTTCCAGTCTTCAGAACCTCTGTATTTGATAAACATGTGACATCTTGATGGTTTTAAACCAAACAAAAACAGTACTAATTCAACATGACCTGTTTTCACAAGTACATAACTGAACTCTGCTTGATTACTTATGGATATGTTTAATCTTCACATTCTCAAATGAGGCACAATGATGGTTATACATGAACTTCTGGCCAATTGATTACAATGCCCAACTCTCAGAAAAGAGACGCAGGTTCAAATCCCCAGTAGGCCGAGGGAGTTTTTCTGTTTGGGCACAAAAAATAAGAACCCTAACCTGTACAATCTGTGATGACCACACTAGCCATATGGCCCTAAATCCTCAGGCTCAAGATCCCCGTGTTTCACCCCTCTTTAAAAAAGTGATACATATAAGTACAGTAAAGACAGTTTTACATTTGGTTATGGAAATGGTTCTTCAAACGCTGCACCTGCCCTTTAGAGAATGTTGACATGGCTAAAATAAAATGAAAGAGTTCTCAAGCACATGATGTTATGATCAAGGAATCACATATCAAATATGTGCCATCATAGACTGTTTTTGTATGGCATTGTTTTCAATGAATACGTAAACAAACTATTCATACGTCAGAAAATGGAAACAAAACAAGCTTGATTACATGAATGTGTCAGTGTCATAACCTCAGCTCAAAGGGTTCACAGACAGAAAGAAAAAAAAATATCCAAGAAACAAGTGTGAACACAGGTGACATGAAGAATATTAAGAGCAGCATTGTTTCTTCCCCTGTGCCATGTTGACTGTTGGTGCCACAGTGATAGACTGAACGTTGGATCCAGGAGAAAGGTCGTCGTCTGGTGAATCTCTAATTTGTTTCTGTGACACAATCTTGTAAATTTCTGACATGGAATACAACAACAGGACATTAAAACATGACTGCATACATCAATATCTTTTTTCTTGTGTGTCATCAATGTCTGTTCTCTCCTTACAGTCACTGTCTGTTCTCTCCTCTCCTTACAGTCAATGTCTGTTCTCTCCTCTCCTTTCAGTCAATGTATGTTCTCTCCTCTCCTTACAGTCAATGTATGTTCTGTCCTCTCCTTACAGTCAACGTCTGTCCTCTCCTTACAGTCAGTGTCTGTCCTCTCCTCACAGTCAGTGTCTGTCCTCTCCTCACAGTCGGTGTCTGTCCTCTCCTCACAGTCGGTGTCTGTCCTCTCCTCACAGTCGGTGTCTGTCCTCTCCTCACAGTCGGTGTTAGTCCTCTCCTTACAGTCAATGTATGTTCTGTCCTCTCCTTACAGTCAATGTCTGTCCTCTCCTTACAGTCGGTGTCTGTCCTCTCCTCACAGTCGGTGTCTGTCCTCTCCTCACAGTCGGTGTTAGTCCTCTCCTTACAGTCAATGTCTGTCCTCTCCTTACAGTCAGTGTCTGTCCTCTCCTCACAGTCGGTGTCTGTCCTCTCCTCACAGTCAATGTCTGTCCTCTCCTTACAGTCAATGTCTGTCCTCTCCTTACAAACAAGACTGTCTTCTTATAGCCAGTATCTTTCTTCTCCTCCTTATTTTTAACTACATTGCTATTATTATAGCCGATATTTTTCTTCTACTTAGTCAACTACATTCTCCTCCTTAGTAAATTTTATTCTTCTCCTTACTTTCAATTTGTTTCCTCTCCTTATTGTAACTATCCTTATTCTCCTTATGGTCAATTTCGTTTGCCTCTTTTTCATTATTATCTTCCTTCTCCTTTTAGCCATTATATTTTTCATAAGCTCAACATCTTTTTTTCTCCTTCCAGTCAACATCTTTTTCCTTACAGACAATATATTTCTTCTTTCTCATTTTCAGTATTTTTCTTCTTAAGGTCAATCTTTCTTCTCCTTAAGGTCAATACCCTTCTTCTTTAAAATCAATTAGGAATATCCTCAGACCTACCTGTAAGAATATTATGAAAGGCCGACTCGACATTAGTAGAATCTAATGCTGAGGTCTCGATGAATGACAAATTATTTTTCTCTGAAAAGAAAAGAAACCCAACAAATATTCAACATTACAAATGGCAATTAGTTCTACACAGAACTTTCCTATTTAATTTCACAAATGAAAGTTGTTATATCTGATAAAACTAAACAGAATGCTTTATAATAACAACTAGATTTGATTAGTAACAATGCTGAGTATTCCTGGTGAATAAGACACACATCATCATCAAATGCCCGGCAGACAGACGTAGGTGTTCATGTATCTCCACAAATTTCAGCCCCTTGTCCTCTGGATCCCAATGATATCCCTTAGTGCCAGTGTCACAATCCATCCATCATCATCTCTCTCAGTCTGTCTCTCCCTTCTTCTGTTGATCTTCCTAGTCGTCACAATATTCTCCAAAGTCTAAGCCATCATCAAATGATCAAAGAACAGTGCTGGTCTTTTCCAAGCAGCTGTATATACTGACTTTTTCATTAGTTTCTTTCAAGCAATCCTCATTAGTTACACTGGCATTTGAAAGGGATTCTTAACATTTGTTTGAAGAACCACTTCTCTGCCGCCTCCAAGTTCTTTTTAATTTGTGCATTCCCGTTCCTTGTTCACTACCATGCAGAAATATTAATATTTGAGTATTCTCTTTTGGACATCAAAATAGAGGGACCTGTAGCAAAAGATGTTCTTTACTCTGTGAAATGCAGCCTTTTTCTTCTTAAAGTCCATGCCATGTGCGTTGATAGTCATGTCTATCCACAACATTCTGTCTTGTGTACTTTCAATTAACTCTGACACAGGTGATCCTCCACACCATGATGTCAAACTGTCCAGCATCTTTTCTCTTGAAATGCAGCCTTATCCTGGCCTATTCTAAGACACCAAAAAATTTAAATTCTTGATTACATCTCACATCATTTCTCTGGTACCTTCTGGTATACAGGTAAATTTAAACACAGGAAGAGTGCCTATCTGTGAGATTCTTAGGAATGATACTAAATTATGTAAATATTCAATGCTTCTTGTTCTGAATTCTCCCTTACAAGGGCAGTTGGTATACTGTACTGTTATTCACAACCAGGCTGCAATATCTGCTCATTCGATTCAACACTTCTGATTTCAGGAAACCTTCAGTTAGTCACCTTTTATGGCATGCTTGTTAAGGGGGTGAAATGGTGAAAATATGGGGGGGTGACTGCAGTCAAGCTAATACAAGGAATTCCAGGGACATTTGATTAAAAAGCTGAAACAAATGGGGAAGCAGAAAAACGTGCATAAAACAACACAAAAAACGTTAACGTTTCAGCCGGGCAGCCCTTGTCAAACATGATGTTAAGGGGGTAGTGGGTTTAACCCATACATGGAAATATTCAATACAAACACAAAGAAATCAGTATGTGTTCACAATAAAATTGAAGCTAACATTGTTTTTTTTTTTCCACTGATAATGTTTCCAGTTAACATTAAGCAAATCTCCCCATTTACAGTGTGTGACCCTTCATTCATTTTCTCAGGCTCGTCTACGTCAGGGGGGTGTGAGGTGAGTTTGAACTTCGTGAGACAAGGTTTTTTTCTGCGCTGCGTGTCTTCTCTCATGCGTGGTGTGTCGATCGGGTTATCGTGCGAGTAATTACCGCCGCTGGCAGGGCATTTAGTTTTCACTCGCTGTTGTGAGCAGACATGAATTTTCTCAAGCTTTTAGCTTTAACTGCCAACAAGCAGAGAAGCGTTATTTTTCTGCATTAGTACAGCATCTTACCGTCAGCCAGACGCTGTTCCAACAATCATCTGATGGAACTGTATCTGACTGGTCGTGAGGTTTCATATTTTGTGTTGCAGACAAAATAGCAGAAACACTTTTGCTTATTATAAGGACATGCATTCGTCCTGGCACAACTGTCGTGTCCGACAGGTGGCGTGCATACAAGGGAGTTGGGGACATACCCGGATTAACTCATATCACGGTCGACCACTCTGAGAATTTTGTGGAACCCGCGACAGGTGGTACATACTCAGGGAGGGGGGTGTGAGGGTTAGCACCCATTGGAAATATCAGGGTCACTCGGCAGTGTTAAGGGACTAGACAGACAGACTGAATTATACCCCCTCCCTCCCGACATAGACGAGCCTGAGGAAGTATGAATGAAGTGTCAGACACTGTGTAAATGGGGAGATTTGCGTAATGTTAACTATGTTTCCATTCCGTTAGGTTTCTAAGAGTTGTCTCACAGTTGTAACGTGACGCCTTAATGACAAACATCCAAAATATCAGTTAACAGTAATTAGCCATACACCACAAGCTACAAACTGTGGCTCGTACGTATGTTTCAATGCTCGAAAGCTTCAGATTATGACTATTTATGATTAATTTTTATACTTTATTATTTGTGCACATAAATTTTGCAGTAAGTCTCAGATGAGTTCAGTGAAATTATCCTAGAGATAAACTGCACAATATAGGTTGTTTATTTCTTTGAAAATGTATTCCAACTTTTTCAAAGGTGCCTCCCATGCACCCCGCTATACTGATCCGTTGTATTCACTGATAAAGACTGGTTGTTTTTGTGCATTTCATTTCGATTTTCGTTGTTAAGCTTTCCATTAGGAGAGCTGTGTTAAGGTATGTACTGGGGAAAAAAAAAAGCTAACCTAATAAGAACATTGTACCGATTACTGATTTAAGAATCGACATCAAAGCACATTAGGCACACCAACAGGTTCTTGTCACCCACAGCAAATGTCTTCTGGTGTAAATGTTAACTGTTCCTATATAACACTGATTATACAAACGTCATTTTCTTCCTCTTATATGCCTCTTTTTGCTGGATCCATACCTAATCCCTCATTCACACATCCTTTACATATTATTTAATCTAACCTTGTGTCTTCTATCAAAATGTATTCATAAACGGAGAAACTACTGCAAATGAGCCACAGCTTAAAGAACATGAACAACAACAATTTTAAGCCATTATGTGGAACTGATATCAGAAACTCACCAGCAAAGACTTTGGCCTCATCAGTTGGCACTGCACGAAGATGTCGCAAGTCACTTTTGTTTCCCACAAGCATGATGACAATATTCTGGTCGGCGTGGTCTCTAAGCTCTCGTAACCACCTCTCCACATTTTCATATGTCAAATGTTTGGCAATGTCATACACAAGCAGAGCACCCACAGCTCCTCTGTAATAACTGTTGAAAGGGCATACGATAACAGCTGTGCAAAGAGTATCATTAGATAAAAGTATCTAATTAGATACACATATGCTTGAGGAAAAAAATGAACATGAATTAGGATGAAATCAAGAGGTTAAAAAGAAGACATTTCAGGACAAACACCAGTATTAACTGTTTTATGACAGAGAAGGGGAAACAAAATTTGACATATTCTGAGAAGAGATGAATAGAGAACCACCAAACAGGCACTGGAATGGGAAACAGAGGAACTGAGGAAACAAGGAGGTCAAAGAGAAACCTAAAGACAAACGCTGTTTATAGAAGTCAAAATTGCTAAACTAGATTCCATCTATAATATCGAAGTAATTGCACTGGATTGAGTGGAATGGAGATTGTCAGCCCTATGTGATATGTTATAGCACCACAGAAAAATAAATGAATGAGTGAAAAATCTAATTAGATAGGTCTAAATAAAACTCTGGAGGAGGTGAAGAGGGCATTATAGCTAGAAAGCAGTTTCACACAACATTTATGCTTGCTTATTATTTCGGAGGTGAAAATTTTATTTAGTCAAAAAACAGTTTAACTCTTACAAATGCAAGTAAATGCAATTTTGGAGAAAGCAAAAATTATGATTAGCTAAAAAAGTAGATTTACAAAACACAATGCTTACTACTAATATACCTAAATGAAACTTCAAAGCAAGTGACGAGGTTGTTTATCTACAAAATAGATTAATAAAATACGAATGTTTATAGTTTGTACACACATGCATCTAAACGATACTTCAGAGGAGGTGAAGAGGGTGTTAGCCATGAAGTAGATTCAAGAAATAGAAATGATTAATGTTAACAAATAAATGTACCAAATTCACTATTCATTACTTTCATTCAGAACTTTGTAAACAGAAAGATATAACTGCAACCTTGATCTGAATTGAAAGCAAGAGGCTGTCCTAGGAGGAGATGGATTGATGACATTAGGAAGATGGATTTATTACGTTAAAGAACTATTACACCGACGCAGAATGACAATAACCATTGCTGCTAATTAAGCAATGAACCGCAAACTGTTCGTAAAAGTCTTCACCATAAAAATGTTTTTTTTTTTTAAATGTTTTCATGACAAGCAAAATAACGGCTACACTAGAATGGTGTGACCTGCCTGTTGTCCTGTTCAAATAAGGAATGAAACAAATTAATAAAGTGTTTTACAGTGTGGATTCTAGGGCCCCACGGGGGAGGTTAGCTGACACTGGATGTGTTGGGCTGAGATTATTAGGCTCAAAACAATGTGCCAAATGCCCTTATAAATGTGAATGCAGAAGATCAAGAAGATTTAAACAGGCTCTGAGCCAACTTTCAAAGAAATGCTATAGTGACTTGTACTTACGCGCTGGTGATTGCCCTATATCTCTCTTGTCCTGCTGTATCCCAGATTTGGGCTTTAATTGTTTTACCGTCTACCTGTATACTCCTAAAGAAGAAAACAAATCAGCTGTAGAATTCAGCCATACACTTCCTTTTTCTTGTGTACAACTGACAAAATGCTTGTGCTTAAGAAATACCAAACAGCACAGACACTTTTACATGACTTTACTGTGGTGTAGGTAAGACATAATGCAGTATAAGATTAATGATCCCTTATTCTCTTTTTTTTTTCCAAACTATATTTCAATACGAAAACTGTCCAACAAGCTGATTACATTCAATACACTGGGATTTATTTGCTTAGGTCTTTTTATTTTTTACCCCGCTGTAAGTACAATATGTGTTCTTTTGTTGTTGCTGTTGTAAAGACTAGGCTGTGGTACAAGTTATGCATCCTCCAACTGTAACATAACAAGACAGTAAGTAGTTACGCTACCTTTTACTAAAGACATCCAATGAGACAGTTATTGTATATACAGATGGCTCTGTGTTGAGGGGCAGATAAAGTGCATGGGGGTTCATAGCGAAGGCGAATAGAGGTCACATGGAGCAACAATGCCTGGCATTTGATATCACGTCTAGTTTGAGAATGGAGGTGGAGGCAGTCACTGCTGCCTTCCACTGGCTTGAGAATCAGCTGTACACACATGTCGAAATAGTAACTGACTCACAGAACATGCTGAGAAAGGTGGAGACAGGCATGCTCCGTGCAGAGACTGGCCAGTTCTGCACCACTTGGCAGTGAACTGATATATGACAAGCTGGATGTTGTGAGGGCCCTTTGGGAGTGAGTGAACAGTGCTGAGGAACAGATAGATCATTACGGTCTGATGAGAATGGCACTGCGAGGAGTTACAACAGGATCTGGCCAACACTCGACACTTGGGGGAGGAGCGAGATGGATATACAATCAGACTGTTACTGACACCATCAGAATTTTAATTCTTCGCTTGCTGCTGAAGATGAGGACTGAGCACTTATGGGAGTGTCCCGAATGCTGTGATGTCGATTCTTAATTCAACAACATTCAATAAGACAGTTCTCAGTTATGCTATCTTCTACTAGAGACACTCTGCAAGTCAGTAGTCAGTAATGCTACCTTCTACCATATAGACATTTAATGTGACAGTTGTCAATTATGTTTCCTTCTACAATAGATACCCAACATACTAATTGTGCTAACTCCTACTTTGGAAACACCCATATGAAAAAAGACATGAAACAGTGCTAACTTCTACCGCGCAGATGATCATGTCAAAACTACACAGAATAGTGGTACCTGCTATAAAAGATGCAAAATAAATAAAATACCCTTCTCATTACCCTCTAGCATACCTGCTACTACAGTAATGACCAATATGACACAACCCCCTTCGCAGTGCTACTGGCTACCACATAGATTTCTAATATACTACTCATTGGCAGTGCTACCTGCTACCTTACTGATATCACTATCCTCTGGCACAGTGCTACCTGCCACCTTATTGAAGTCAAATAGCGCTATCCTCTGACATGATGCAACCTGCTACCATACTGATGGCCCTTATCACTAACCCATGGCATAGTGCTACCTGCTACTAGACACCAATATGTAGTACATTGCTACCTGCCACCACACATATCACACTTTCCACTAGCATACTACTACCTGCCACCACACAGATGCCCAATATCATCTAACCCTGCTAATCGCCCTCTAAGTGCAAGGACATAGCAAAACCCAAGCCACAAGAATTTTATTTCACATTTCACACTTCCTATATGCTAAAAATATTACCATAAACAGTTCCCCAAATCTCATAAAGGCAATCTAAATTAAACAACAGGTTTTGTGGGCTGAGCTTCAGAAGCTCTGAGTCATCCATTTACCTGCAGCCAGTTTAACCTATTTGCTTAATTTAGCTTTTAAGCTTCCTGGGTGAATCTTGTGTTTCAAGAATGCATAAAACCTCAGAGATTTAATCCATCTATTACATATTCTCCTCACTTTCATCTGACAATTTTGACATATCATCCACTTCCCTAAATGGTTAACTATTTTCAGTAAAGGTCTTTAACCTACAGCCAGCAGACTCAATTTAATGCATTCAAAAGTATACAATGTGACCTTTAATGTTGCCATTTGTGTGGAAAAAGCTGGGAAAGTCTGATCTACGGCAATGATCTGTGGGAGGTTTTAAGTACAGGAACTCACATATGTGTAACATTATTGCGCCTTGTTTTATCCCATAAAGCTCAGTTTGGTCTATTTCTGCAGAGCAATGGGCTGTCCATGAGAGTGTTGCACAAAGACAAGAGTCCAAAAGCTGACCCACAACTTTTATAGAACAAGGCAAGGCAGCAACTTCATTGCAGAGATCCCCACATTTAACACACATGTATCCCCATGTGGTTTCTGGGACCCCCTTTTTGACTCCAAAAAAAATTAACAGACCCACTGCTTCCTTAACAAGTATGAAAGGCACTTCTTAGATGTTTGCTGAAACTGAGTGAGTTGGGCAGATATTACAGCTAGGCAATGATCAGGTATGCCGCCTCCTTCTGTCTTCTGGTTCTTTATGGTCAGACTGTTAAGCTGAACTTTACATTAAAGACTAATCATCACATTTGTTTTGCTTTTCTGTGCATCATTCCTTCATATTTGTGTGTATGTGTGTGTGTCTTGGAGAGAGAGAAATCTTACCGTGTAGCAAATTCAACTCCTATAGTACTCTTGCTTTCTAAGTTAAATTCGTTGCGGGTAAATCTAGACAGCAGGTTACTTTTACCTACACCAGAGTCTCCTATTAGCACAACTGTGAAATAACAAGCAGAAAGTTTTCAATACAGCATTACCAAATAATGTATAACAAGCACAGAAGTCAACGAAACAGAATACCATTTTTTTTATTGCCTTTTAAAAAGTGGTTGGTAAATTTTGTTGTGTGCCTAGCAACCCTTCACCCATTATCTTAGTCAAGGCAACATAAAAAGACATGATATGTATTGTTTTTCATATATTTGTATATACCATATATGTGGCGAGAAAGGTGTTGGGTGGTGAAACTGCTCGCAAACACACAAAAGTGAGCTGCGGGAGTGTGAAAACTAAAGAGGAATTATTCTGCTGTCAATCTTGGAAAATATATTAAGCAGGATTATTTTGGAAAGACTAAAAGATGCAAATGACTTACAGCTAAGGAATGAATAGGAAGGTTTTCTCTAAACAGATTTAACACTGACAAGATAACCACACTACACATAATAACACAGCAATGTATTGAATTGAATTCACCACATTATATGTGATTCATAGACTGAAAAGGTCTTTGGCAGCAGTGTAGAAAATCTCTCTGGAAATTGATGAGGCACTATAGGATCTCACAGAAAACCATTAACTTAGTCAAGGCAACATAAAAAGACATGATATGTATTGTTTTTCATGTGAGAAAACTTACAGATAAACTTGAAAATAAAACAACAGGTACTCTTGTCACCTCTCCTATTTTTACAGAATATTGTGAACAAAGCAAAAACTACCAACAGGAACAGAATGTAGTGGACCCCTACAAAACAGCCTGATGACCTGGACTTGGCTGATGACATTTCTCTCCTACCACACTCATGAAAGCAGGTAAATTAAACATACCCGAGGGATACAGATATTAGGTGAAACTATCTGTAAGGAAAAACACAAAGATAATGAGAATAAACCAGGCAAAAAGTAAACCAACCTCTTGATATCCCACTTCAAAATGTAAGGTCATACAACTATTAGCAGTAATGTAGACTGAGATGGGGAACTGATAATTCTATGCAGAACTCAGGGATACTATTACAAATACAAGGTAAAACCTTTATACTTACAACAAAACAGAACTATACCAAAGCCAAAAGTGCTGCAATGCTTTAAACAACAGTAGGAGTTACACAGGGCTGCCTTGAATCCTCAATATTAATATCTTCCTAGAAAGAATAATGACTTATGCTCTAGAAAAAGACCTAGGAATAGTTAGCACATCAGAATGAATCATAACAAATCTAAGGTTTGTAGATGACACTGACTGATTCGTCAGGGAAGAATGGGAGCTTGCTGAACTCACAGACCTACCTGATGAAGCATCTGACAAAAAAGCCATGGGAAAAAAAAAAACAGATAAGACTAAAGTAATGAAAAATAATCCACCTATTAGAAACAAAATACACCAATATACATTAAAGATCCCAAAAAAGAACACATTTCAAATATCTAGGACCCATTCTATGTGACCCAGAATTTAAACCAGAAATCATGTCAAGAACTGCACGAACAACATTATTCCTCACTAAACAGGAAGTACTATGCAGCTCCAAAAACATGTCAATGTCAAACAAAAATACAACTGCTTACAGCGCTAGTTATTACTACCTTTATAAGTGGTAATGAAAATAGACCTCTACACCCCAAAGTAGAAAAGCAGCAACTAAGCAAAGTATTGACAAAACAATCTTTTGAAATGCAATCTTTTGTAAAGATTCTTAGTATTTCATGTAGAGACCACATCACAAATGATGAAGTTCCCCATATTATTATTCAACACATTAGCCACTACAAACCTCTCTCAACAACAGTGAAAAGATGAAAAATGCAACAGTATGGGCATGTAATAAGACCTACTACCTGCCTCTCTGAAACAATACTACACAGCTCTGTGGAGGAAGAGAAAGGAAGAAGTAGATGAAGGAAGACCTGGGTACAGAATGTGACTGACTGGAGAGGGCTCAAACAAAAAAAATTAAATCCTGTACATCTGACTGACAGATAAGGAGGGAACTAGTGACTCAATGAGATGCACGTTTATGGGATTATGGTGATGAGTTACGAGTTTTATTATTTAAGTAGAACCCAACAAATGCATGGTGAGTCAACTGGTACTGAATGACCTAACAGGCTCTGAGCTGCTCCCAACCAAGATATCAAGGTATCACCCCTGCCCCTTGTTTTTCGTTCACAGCAAAAAAATATTGCCATGGATACATTTGTAAGGAGAGACCAAATGCAGAAGCCTATCAAAAGTAACAACTTCTGCAACAGTAACTGCATATTCCATTTGAGAGTCTGTGTATGTATCAGACATAAATTTGTATAAACACACGTCAGAGCCCAGTGTTATATTGACTTCAACATTATTCTACAATGTTCAGGCTCAGACATGCTGTCACACACAGCAGAGAGATAGTACTGACATACATCTCTACCCCCTACCCCTCAACATCAATTCCATAATAAGCTAATGACCAATGTTGAAAAAATAAAGTCATGACATAATTTACTCTCACTGTCGCAAAGAGAAGTCTTAGAAGAGAAGACAAAAATAAAAGCCTGTGTGAAATAGAATACAGAAACATCTAAGTCAAATTCTAACGTGGAAGTGTTGTGTGTGCAAGTCTAATCTGTCAGGGATGCTCTTGTTGACAAGCCAAATGAAAATGAAAGTGTATCTGTTTAATGCAGAGTGATAAAGAGGTATATGACAGAGGATACAGTTCTCTTGAGGAATAAACCTATTCCTACATGATAATTAAAGTACCAACATGTACATGGACTTGGAACTGGCAAATTAACTGGATAATTATTTCGCAAGACTAATCTAGTACACAAGGATTATGGTTAGTGTTAACTTTATTATCTTGGTCACTTAATACTAAATTTTATAGTCACAAATTATTGGTCCTATGCTGTGCTCAATACATGTTTTAAAAACATGAAACTACTGCTAATGAAGACCAAGTCTTAAACTACCCTGTGTGTGCAGTGTGAAATGTTGGTAGATGGGTGCACTAAGTCTAAACCATGTCTAAGCATGGCTGTCAACATTAGTTAGAGTGAAATGTTGACTTGAAATACTGCTGTCAAAATGTTGACAGATGTGTGATGACGATGTGTGCAATTTATTTAATATATTCAATAATTTTTGGTTTTAAAAACTGCTACACATATATTTATAGACCAGCAGCCGTCCCAATGTTTAGAGTGTTTGAAAAACTACTATAATATGGCAACAAAAACAAATTACTGAAAATTTAGTCTTAACTGACTACTTAGTACTTTTTTAGCAGTTGCAGTTCACAGTGGTGAACTAGTCACAAGACTACTAAGACACTAAGTATCAACTTCTAAGACCAGTATATAATACAACATTACCGTATCCTACTGTTAATTTACATGTTAAAATGCAACGAAATCCGTATAATAATGGCCACTTCAACAGAAAAAGAGCACAGTTAACAATTAAATAATTAGAATTAGAGCCATTCCAGTGGTCAGTGGTCACCATGGAACATAATAATCCGGTCGACACGGCCATCATTCGATCATAAAATATGAATGTATGTTCCCTTACAATTTAGAAAATACAGATAATGAATATTGCTTCTCTTATTATAGTGTTATAAGATTAGATATACATGCTCTTAACTGTTGAATATTCATCACTTCAAACATGAATTTATCGGCCTCACCCTTGAACAAATAGTCGTACTCGTCGTCTTTAGTGCCCATTTTGTCTATGAAACTTTTGCTTCCGCTTTTTGGATAAGTGTAAACAAACAGGTATCTGCCCCAGCCACTAACTACCTGGAGGCTATAGCAAAATACCACAGACACACTATGGTGTCTTCTCGACTGAAGATCGTCGCGTAAATGCTTTTAAAGTAGAAAATGACCTCAGCTTTCTAATAACAAACTAGGCTGGTGAGATAAGTTTTCCCACAAGCAGTCACAAATATGGCGCTGGCTCAACGCCCCTAGACTCAGTGCGCATGAAAATTACGTCATCGGTTTACCGGAAGTGGACAGTTGTCGTCCTTCTCACTTCGCACTCTTGTCATTAAAAACATTCTACTGTCCACAGTGATTTGTTCTTTTTAATCTGCTTTCACCCATAAAAAGACGGTTTGGTTGTGGATTACATCCATCTAGGTTACGATTTTCGAACCAACACATCCGATTTCAACACACCCTTAATAAATAAATAATGTACGACAGGCTTGTTCAGAGACAAAGTGTGGGGGGGGGTGGGGGGGGGGGAGAGAAGAAAAAAAAGGGGAGGGGGAGTATTTTGGTTTTCCTTTTCCAAATTGGGGTCTGGAATCTATACGGTGAGACACTGATTATTAATAACTTCCATAATAGCACACCGGACAAACTCATAGGAGCCGAAAAGTTGTGGCTCTGGTCCCTTGAGACACCCCCCCCCCCTTTCCCCCCAAACTGTTAAGGGGACTAAGACCACATATTGACATTCTCTTTAAAAATGGGTTTTACGTTGCATATTAGACGCTAGCCTGCGGGTGGAAAGGTCGTGGGTTCGGTTCCTGACGGGGGCCGACTTTTTTCAAAAATGACCTGGGCTCCCAGGTCGACCCAGCCTTGAGTGGGTACCAGGTACAGTCCTGGGAAGTAAAGGCATCCAGGGTGATGCTGACCACATCACCCACCAAGGTCCGTTTGGTCTAAAAAATATAGGTCTAGCCCTATATACCCGATATGCCTGAGGGCGTGGATTAGGGTCCTTTACTTTTTACTTTTTTTTTTAATTTGAAGATATTGTATTTATTTGTCAGTCAGCACATTAACGATAATAACAATAATAAATATTATTATTATAGCTATAATAATAATACATTGAATGACAAAACAAAAATATAATACTTTCTGTATATAATTATTGGACGGCTCAGCCCCCCCCCCCCCCTCCACCGCCCACTTGCCTTAAATCTTTCCTGCAAGTATGATTTGTATAAGACTGTTATGTCTTTTAGTGTCTGAAATATTACACTTGTCTGTATTTATTTCCTCCAGAAACTCATTTTTTTCATGATCTGTATATTCAAATCTCTGGAGACCCGGTTCCCGTATTCATTGATGATCTGATCTTCTACCCAGTAGCTGCACACAACAAACGATCATGCCTGTTCTGACCCATCCTCGTTCACAGCCACTCAACTGTTGATGGACGTGGACCACCATTTATTGGTCAATAATCCTATTTTTGGGGGTTAACAAGGCATTCCCATTGTAGGTTTTGGTACTCCATTTAGGGGGAAGGGGGTGACCCACTGCTCATTAACAAGCATGTCGTAAAGGGCGACTAATCAGGGATGTTTAATTGGAAGTTACAGTGCACCTGCCTGAGTGGCGAGGAACCAACATTCTGCACACAATTAAGTCAGAGATGTGAAACGGATGTGCATGAAAAATGCAACATCTGGAATAATACCAAAGCCTAGAAGTGGTTGAACAACCAGAAGGCTCCACTGGAGTTTACAGCCCATGAAAAGAGGAAGAGCAAGCCATTATCGGTCTGCTCTAAACACAAAGAAAGAATGTTTGGTGAGAGAAGGTAGATTATTTACATGTAGTTTCCAAACTTTTACACGTCGCTGTTTCTTGTAGATCTTATTGTATTGTTTCTATGTACAAAGATAAAAAGTAAAAGACAATGTAAGAAGGTTCTTGACAGCTTTTTGTTATGGCATGAAGGGCTGTTGAATGTTTAAGTTCTTCTTCTTCACGTTCACCAGGTGTAAACTCTGGCGGAAAGTTCTGGCTGTTCATCCACTTTTGGACTGCAGTCCTGTTCCAGAACCTGGGTGTTGCATGTGCATCCATTTGACAGATCTGACTAATTTGTATGCAGACTGTTGGTACCTTGCCTCTTAGGCAGATGCACTCTGACTTTGAAGGAAGCTGCCAAATAGTCCATTCTTACGTCATGCCTTTGGGTAAGCAGTGGGGCTATTCTTGTTTCCTCATAATAGGGCCCCGGAACCCACATAGGGGGAATGTTTAAGTAAGAATCGACATCACAGTGCTCAGGACATTACCACTTCTCATCCATCATGAGCAGCAAGTCAAGAGTTTATATTTCAGTGGTACCAGTAACAGTCTGATTGTATATCCAACTCACCTTTCCATGAGTGTTGATCCTCAGTCATATCCTCTTGTAACTCCTCGCAGCTTCAGTCTCCTCAGACCATGATGATCCATATGTGCTTCTGCACTGTTCACATGCCCTGAAAGAGCCCTTGCAACATCCAACTTGTCATGCAGCAATTCACTATCAAGTAGTGCAGAGCCAACCAGTCTATTTGCCTGTTCCTTTTCTAATACACCGGCATGTCCTGGAGACATTATTCAAAGGACGTAACTACCCGCGACCTCTAAAGCGATGATTGCCACTCTTCCCAGAGCATACCGGACTCAATCTTTCTCAATATGCTCTCTAAGTTGGTTACAATTACCTGGGCAGAAATAGTCATGAATCATTTGTTGAACCTCTGATTCTGCAGCCCCAGCTGACCAGTCCCTGCCCTCACGGTCCAGTGTGATTAAAACCCCAAACCATTCTGACTTTTGGTTTGACACTAACCCACTCCTCTCCTCTCCCACATTCATCAAGCCTGCACAAGTCTAATATGTCTTCAGCTTGCTCAATTCAAGAACTTCCTCTTTTCAGTCTGTGACCCTTAGCTCTGTCTAGGGCTTCATGTGCGAGATGTTTCTAGTCTGTAGCTTCTCTGAGATATGACTCTGCTTGTAGCACTTTGAGCCCATCTTTAATAGTCAGCAGTGCAAGTTAATAGCAGGTAAAGGGGTATCAGCACATGAACTGATAAATGCTGATACTGCTGTTGAAAATCGCAGATCGTGGAGGGGCATAGTCATCCACGCCATTGGGCAAGGCACTTGATGGTGATGATGTACAAAGACAATGGTGAGAGACAGTAGATTATTTACATGCAGTCTCCAAACTTACACACGTTGGTATTTCTTGCAGATCTCATTGTATGTTCTATGTGCAAAGAGAGAAGACAGACTGGCCGATGGATGGGTTGTCTTCAAATGGTATTTAGAGGTGATAAGGTTAACTTCACTTCCCCGGGCATTAACCACATAGATGGTTTACTTTCTGTCTGCAGTAGCAGCCGTGCACCAGCCTGGTTTGTCCTGCAAAGTATCACATATGCACCGGAACCAAGGGCTTAGGCCCCTTGATCCCCTCTCCACCTTCAACATTGTAAGGGAGGTTAAACTCTCCACCCCCAAAGAAATATTAACAGGCTGAGCACCCCCACTCGTCCTCAACTATTAGTAGTTCCCATTTTTAAGTATTTATTTATTTATGCATTCCCTATTATTTCAAATATTATAACATTTATTTATATATACGTATATATAGTCTGTCGGCTCTGTGACTAAGTCGATGCAAACGTTTCGTAATGCCCGGTTCAATCCCAGCTGCGGGCCATGCACCTTGCATTAGATTCGACAGTGATATCAAGAAAGCTAACTGTCCAGAAAGCAATGGCAAACTACTGGATGTAAATTTGCCTAGAAAAACCACACAACAGCCAGGGGCTGTTGGGGTTGGTTCTGCAACGTCCTGTAAAAGATACGCAACTGACTTATATATAGTTGGCGAGGCAGGAGTGAATCAAAGTATCCAAGCAAGAATCAGACTTGTGTAGGGTTCTAACCACTTTAGGCCGTAAGTGCAGGGACTTGCCAGCTGGTGCTGCAGAATCAGAAGAAGAAACCCCAGGAAAGGATGGAATTACAAAAAAAAACATCTATTAGGGTTGAGTACTAAGGCAAAAAGTAACCTACTAGCAGTCCTAAATTGCAGCTAGAAGAGAGGAATAGTCCCTCAGGCATGGAAGGAAGTTTTACTAATACCAGTCCAGAAGAAAGGAAAAGACCCAGGAGAACTAAACGCCTGTCGATTAGTTAAGTTTACTTAGCTGTATAAGGAAATTGATGAAAAGCACTGTAAATAACTGGCTGACAGGACATCTTGACAACAGGCAGGATTTAGAAAGTACAAATCTACTGAAGACCAAATAACATGCTTAGTTCAAGAAACAGAGATATCTGGTTTTGATAAAGTATGGATGCGAATGAAAGAAGAAGAAGAAGATAAAGTATGGAAGGAGAGACAAAGTGAAACCACAAAGAAATACAGGTTTGTGGGAAATTTACAAATGGATCAGTCAGCATCTTGAGAACAGAACTGTCAAGACAAAAGTACAAGGACAAAGAAGCCACACACAAAAATGGTTAGAGCAAGGTGTTACCCAAGGGAAGTATTGTCACCAACATTGTCCCTAGCATACACAAATGACATTTCAAGAAATTTCCAGCCAGAGTTCACACCTTGTCCTTTGCAGATGCTCTAGCTATACGGACATGTGGAGAACACAGTGTAGCCAACAACAGGATACAGCAAACCTTATCAGTATTAGAGGAGTGGTTAAAAACTTGGCTACCGAGCATCAGTGAGAAGAAAAAACAATATGTAGTGTTATCTCTCTCAAATAAAAAATTGCTAGATAAGCTAGTGCTAAATGGAAAAATACTGTGACAAGAGAACAATCCTGTATACCCATGTGTCACGTTTGATTGCTGCCTAAAATGGAAGACATAAGTAGAGATAAATCGAACAAGAGCAAGGCAAAGAATGGCAATCATGAAAAGGTTTGGTGGTCCAACATGGGGAG